GGATTAAGGGTAAAAGGTGCTTCAATGTGTTTTAAAATACAAGACAAATGTAAAGAATTTTAATAGCAATGTGAAAAAGTTACACGTAACAGTGCACAACTCATTTCCACCTCCTGCCTGATCGGTGACACAGGGAGGGGAAGAAGAACCCATAAGCCATGGCTAAGGGACAAAGTCTCAAATCTGCCTGCAACTGAAGGAGCAGTTACACGACTACAGCATGCCAGGTGGGAAGACCCTTCAGCCCACATACAGGAAGCAGGGAGTGTGAAAACCCAGGTTGACTTTACACCAAGGTTTTTAAATCCCAGCCCTTGAAAAATTCAACCGTTTCCACCACAACCAATCCCCTCAATGACACAAGTGCAGAAGCGCCACAGGAAAGCGGAAATTTTTCTTGAGCAGAAGTGTGGCCTATGCACCAGACAAAATTACTGTTGCTGTGCGAATCGTAACTTGAGTTTCCTGGACTTCAAATTTTAGAAAATCTCAAACGTAAGAATCCTCTGGCAGGTTTCCCCATCTAGAACAAAAGTCTGCTTCTCTGAGAACGAGTTTATGAAATTAGCTCTCTCACTCCAACTCAATCCTATTAAGAGTTCTCCTTGAGTTTTAGGCTTTCTTTTTACTTTCTTTTTTTTTTTTAAGGACAAATGGGCTTTGGCATGATTTTCAGAACATGATGCGAATCAATCTGTTCTTTGACAAATACTTTAATTGAATTAGATGCTTTTTAATAAGAAAGTACTCACCAGGGAAAGAAAAAGAAAAAAGAAAGGATTCACCAACTGCAATTTATTGCATGACTCCAGTTCCAAAAACTCTGGGATCTTTTTTTAGGACCATGATATTAAAGCTAGACACAGAAGCAAGCCCTTTCCCATGGGACCCTCCCCCTGGCTGGCACAGCCCAGCCAACAGGGACCACGTGAAAAAGGTGCATGCTTTATTATCCAAGACTCAAAAACTCAGAAACCCAGAGAAATCACTAACTTCCAGGAGCAAACAAAATACAGAGGCCAACGTCCATAATTACAAGTGTTAGAGCTGAAAATCCCAAACCTACTACTGTTGTTAAAAGATAGAAAGCAGCAATAGTGGTTATGAAATTAGGAGGGGGAGGATGTAGGATTCCATTCTGTGACATTTTTCTCCCTACTCTTGGTTTCAGTATCAGCAGAAATATAAAAAGGGGCAAAGGTACTTGGAGCATCTGCTTCAGCTCTTCATTCAACAAGTGAGAAAAAGTAACCTATCCAAGGTCTTTACAGCATGAGGGACAGCTGGCTGTCCCAAGAAAGTCACCCCTTTAACTCTGCCTGCCTCAGCAAATACCAGCTCTGTTCTCTGCATGTTTTGATTACATTTGTGGTCATCTGCCTGCCCACAAGAGGGGCATGGAGCAAGGACCTGGGATCCAGGATTTCAAGTGTGGACATTTACGGAGCTGCTCAAGGAGATGCTGAATGGATTCCAGCTCAGAGACCCCAGAGCAGGGCAGAAACTGCGCCAGGTTTTCCAAGATGGCATCCACGCCGGAAGCTGAATGCCAGCTCATGCCCAGGGAGCAGATGTCAGTCTAACCCCAGTCTCCTAGAAAGCAGTCAGGAGCTTAACCACGGCACCACCAGGGCTGCCTCAGAGCTTATCTACCACATTTCAGGCAATGTGTCCAGAGCTTTGAACAGGGACCACATACAATCCTCACCAGAGCCTATCACAGGGACTCTGGGTCTCAACTACAGCAGCACAGGAGGAATCTGCAAGGAACCCAAAACGCCATTTAGTTCTGCAAACAGTAGATCCATCAGCCTCATGGGCTCCCTGAAGTCTCCACAGGTGGAACCACCGCCATGGGTGGAGCAGCTAAGTCGTCTATACTCAGAGAGTGGGGTGGTCAGGATGGAAAAGCGAAACCTTGGCCGGAAGTGATGTCCAGCCACTGTCTGCCCTGCTGTATTCTCCTGTCTTCTGTGTGGTCCACGTAGGAAATACAAGAAGCCATGCCAGCTGAGAGAAAAATGTTCTATAACCCCGCTACACTGATGTCTCCAAGCTAACCTCACTTCTGTGGGCACCAGGTCCAGGTAATCTAAGATCAGGGAATGTGAGCCCAGCAGAAAAAATGAAGATAAAGACCCTTCAGAGTGTCAGAGAAATTACTGACCAAAGCCAATGAAGACAGCTTCCCACCCAAGAGCTGGCTGCTAATGTTAACCTGTATTTTCCAACTGGATCCAAAACCTCCCTTTACCCCACTTGACAAATTTTAGCACTGTCTAATGGAATAGCAGGACCCAGGCCAGCCAACCTTACCGCTCCAGGCACTCAGGCCAAGGAACAGAAATATGTTTTTAGTCTGCAAAGCAAGGCCTGATTCAAAGTGCCACAGTACCCACAGAGCAGGCTAGGGCCTCTGGCAGTTCAGAGTGACCTGCCAACTCCTGCCGAGAGAACAGATAAAGGAGCAAGGTGGGACTGTCTCACTTCCCTCTGTTGATTTTATAACTTACATGACTGAAGGGAATCTCAGTTTCCTCTCTGGTAACATTAATATTAGCTATGGCTCTGGCTTCCTCACAGAGAGCTGTAAGAGCAAGAGTTAGACGCAGTGTTTCCCGAATGTTAATGAGCAGACCAACAGTAAATACAACTTCTGATCCAGAAGAAACAGGGAGAGTTAGGGTTAAGAAAGATTCTGCATTTCAAATAAGTCCCCAGCTAACAACGGAGCTCTGGGGGCCTTCGTGGTAAGGAGATGCACTGTCAATCCAAAGGCATATGATGTGAATCCACCAGCTGCCCTGCAGGAGAAAGAAAGGGAATCTCTTCCCTCGGAAAACATCCTGTAAGGTGAGCTATGGGTTGGACCTGACTCAAAGGTTTACCACAACAACACAACATGGGTCCAGAGCTGATGCAGGAAGCAGTAAAGGACATTCCAGTGCTCCACTTCCTTATTATGTCTCTAATTAAGTTCACAAAAGGTTAATAAGTAGGACACCCTGGTGACATAATCCATAGACAGTTGTGCCGATAACCCAAAATCCGCACTCCTCTGGAGGCTGGAACGGTTCAGTGGGAGAAAAGCAGGCAATCTCCTCCCATGCAATTTACAGCCTTGGAAACTCAACAGAGGATCAGCTATGAGTTGGTTCCAACTCAGTGGCAATTGTATTGGAAGGTTTTTTACTGTTATTTTAACAAGTTATTTTGTTACTGTTATTTACTGTTAAAATAAGTAACCCGGATTTACATGCCCTACCAGGAAGATCTTGCCAAGGCCCAGGGATCTATGTGACAATTAGCCATTGGAAGGACACTATTTGTTAAATGCCTACTATGTGTCCTGCATGACATGAGAAGTTACAAACTCATCACACTCCCCTCTAACCTCCACTGAAGTCCAGTCAAGTGCTCCTTAGAACAAGGACGGCGCAACACTTATCCCACACACATAGGACGTATTATCAGGAGGGGCATGTCCCTGGCTGGGGGACTCATGCTTGGAGAAGTAGTGGGTCAGTGAAAAAGAGGAAGACCCTCCCTAAGATGGACTGACGCAGTGACTGCAACAATGGGTGAAAGCAAGCACACACTCTGAAAACGAGGGAGACTGTTCTGAGAGATAAGATTCAGTCAAAGACACAGAGGCTGAGTGTGTCACACACAACTGGAACCCGTCACACACAACTGGAACCCGAGGCCCTTTAATCAATACCCTGGGAAGCTCAAGACTGTTTTCTCAAGGACAAAGTGCCTGCCACCAGCAAAATCCAAGCCCATGAGCTACCCGTCTATTCGCCCCTTAGCCTAGTCGCTCAGCCTGCTGAGCTTTGGAGAGGATGTACATATGAGAACAAATGAGTTCGGAAATCACCAAATCGAGTATAAGCGTTAAAAAGAGCTTCTTTCTCCAACAATAGAGAAGAGTTAAAACCCCCAGCTTTTCAGTTAGCCAACCAGCAAGCACAGCATGGAGGGTTACATGAAAAAGGGCCGTCTTCACCAGAGCCCGCCAGTAAAACCCTGCAGGGCTGAGCAGACAGAAGACTCAGGTGTGAACAAGGAGGTGCTCTGCTAAGGAAGCTGCAATAAAAGTCTGGTGAGGAAAATTATCGGGCTCCCTACTGCTTCATCTGGAAAGATCTCTGGGCGAGTTTAAAACAATCCCTTCCACCTGATGGCAGAAGAGCAGAGTGTGATGTAAGGTGCCGAGCTGTCTAACAAACGCCTTTAAGCAAAGCCGAACACCCATAGGGCTTCCTTCCTTTCTGTTTATTTAAGTCCTTCCAAGTCCTTTCACAAGAAACCCTGGTAGCATAATAGTTTACATGCTGGACTGCTAACCAGAAAAGTATGAGGTTCAAATCCACCAGCCATTACTCAGGAGAAAGGCCGTTTCATCTCTTCTCCTGATTTATAGTGCTGGAAACCTGATGGAGGGTTGACACAAATCAGAAATAACTCGCCAACAGGAATTTGGTTTTTAAGTGTCTTTATGGACCTAGTCTTCTGTAGACGCAGCACTCTGTCTATAGCAGTCACCACACTGTGTTTTGTCTAACATTTTATCATGACAAATAATTCGCCATTTTTATGTTTACTTTAAAGGTCTGGTGATACTTTTTAAAAGATATAAAAGTAGTCTCATCAAATTTACTAACAGAAACATGAACTTGCTCCTTAAATAATTCCATTTCCTTTAACCTCACTCTATTCACCCATGTTGTAGCTTATGCTCCAGGAGAAAGAAATCTAATTCCATTTCCATCGGAGCATTTTAAAAGAACTGTTTCTGCCAAAACGAAAGGGGGCAAAATTTCCAGCTCTGCTACCCCCACACAGCACCCAAGGCCTGGGTCCAAATCACCAGGGTCACAAAAAAGGCCATTTCACCAGTGAATGCACAGACCCACATCCTCCTGTCCCCAGGTCCCAGCCAGACAATGCCCTGGCCTCACCACACAGCCCAGGACCCCTGAATGACAACCACTTACAGAAAGAGAGAGACGACGTGAGACGAAGCAGCACCCAGGGATGGTATGGCTGTCAGCTCATTGTTATTGAGGTACCTGCAACAACAGGAAGAAATCAGTCATGTGAATCAATCATATATTCTATCCATGTGCAAAAGAAATTATAAAAACATTGAGAGAGATTATACACTTAATGTCAGACTAATTCCCAACTGAACTCTCATCACACAGGAACCAACTCAGAGCTGATTCTCCAGCGGGTTCCTGGAAACTGGAAACTGCAAGGGAAGAGATTCCCCATCTTCCTTCCTTGGGGCTACTGGTGGATTAGAACCATCAGAGGTGCTGCCTCTGCCTTAGCATTCAACTCCCTGTGGGCTAGGCCGCCAGAGCGCCCGCAATACTCAAGAAAGCCTTGAGGAAAGCCTCATGAAGTAATGAAAACCAGCCCCATTCCTCATCTGCATGGCTTAGAAATAATAACCAAAAGGAACTATTTCCTATAGGTCATTAAGTTCCCATCGAGACTAGAAATCAGGACTGACCAGAAACCCAGACAGTAAAAACTGACAAAGGTGCCCAGTTCCTAATTGCAGCATGCTTCTCTGGCTGTGTGAATCCATCAGTGGTTCCCTGGAGGAGGATGAGCAGTCTCCTTTCGTACAGTTTACAGCCTCAGAAAACCCACCAGAGGGTCATCAATGGTTGGTTCTGACTCGAGGGCAATGAGTTGGGAGAACATCAAGGAGCCGCTGCTGTGGGCTGACGTGGTCAGAAAAGGCTCTGGAGAGGAAAGAGCATGTTGTCTGGAGTTTCCCAAGTGTGTGACATGGGCTTTCCACGCCACAGCTCTGCCCAGAAAAGGGTAGCGGATACCAACAAGACCAGAGGCTTACCCAGGGCCATGGAACCTGGGGCCAACGGTCCCTGCTGCCTCATCTCTAAGACTGCAGCGAGCAGGTCTGAGTCTCATCCATTTTCAAACCCATGTTCCTGGGGCTCCTGAAGCCTCAGTCACAATTTCCAGGAAAACGAACATCTGCACACAAATACACATTTCTGCATGTAAACACTCTGAAACGCTTCTATGGGCAAGAGACCGTCTGTCTCAAGCCCCCTTCCCATTCAAACATTCTAAATCTGCACTGTTAACACCCCTTAATGGCCAGGGAAGTGCAGGAACTGAAGCGCAGCCTGCAGAGCCTGCCCCCAGAGGCTTCACAATCGGCCTCCTTACAAGGAAATGTATTTCTAAATCTGGGGAGAGAATCCAAAGTCAGACTTGTGAAGGGAACCAAAAAGTCTTAAGAAGTCAGAGCACAGCGTTCAGGCTTTTCTCCGAGTGACAGCCCAGAAAGAAGCCGTGTGTGATGGAAAACCACGATGAGGAAGCTGCCCTGTCTTATTCCCCCCACCAAGGGAGGTTGTGTCTTACATGAAGCCATCTGCGATTTTCTGAAGACAAAGCCACCGATGTGACAGTCCTCATCATACAAGTGCACAGCTAGCATCTGCTTGACGAGAATAATTTCGTTATCTGCCATCTTTTATAGAAATGATATTTTCTTTTTAGACAAGGAAAAGAAAGAAAGGCCTTGAATTATCTCATTTGCTTTCCTTCATGCCAAAATCAGTTAAGAAGGAAGCCTGGCCATCCCTGGACTCATGGACGCTGACTGTCTGGTTCAATAGCTTCACGACTGAAGCATCTGGCAGGAAAAGCTGGTCGTATCATGTGACAAATCCTTCCTCCACTTACAGAGAAAGTGAGTGTGTGTGTGTGTGTGTGTGTGTGTGTGTGTGTGTGTGTGTGTGTAAACGGACTATTAATGACTTTAACAGTCTTTTATCGGACTGCCCTCCCAACCAGACTGTTTCTGCTTCACCTTTTATCTACTCCACACTCTACCATACCTGTCCCCTCAATGTGCAGGGACTCGGAATACCTGGCATCAGTTTCGTCTCTACTAACACTTATCAATGCATTTATCACCTGATAAAGACCTTCAGATCAGAATGAGAAACTAAAGTCACGGGCCTGTTGCCCAAATCACAGTTTGCCAAAAAATTCATTTCTTAAAGACTTCTTCTAAACACAGACCACAAAGGCAGTGGTAACTGGTAAATGCTAACTATGGGCTTAGCATTTACCCAGTTTGGTTCCAAGAATTTATCAATGTGTTACTTCATCTTTAAGGTGACTGGGTGGTTGTTGTTGTTATGTGCTGTTGAGTCACTTGCGACCCATAGTGACCCTATGTATAACAGCCCTAAACTCTGCTCTATCCTGTGCCAATCGCACTGTCTCTGACACTCCCATCCCGATTATCCCAGTCACTGAATCAATCCACCTCATAGAGGGCCTTCCCCTCCTGCGCCGTCCCTTCACCCTCTCAAGCATGATGTCCTTCTCCAAGGACCGGTCTCTCCTCACATGTCCAAAGGAGCCTCAAATCCTTGCCTCCAAGGAGCCACCCAGTTTAACTCTTTCCAGGATGAATCTGTTTGTTGGTATTCTCAATACTCTTCTCCAGCACCACAGCTCAAAAAGGCATCAATTCTCCTTCTATCCTCCTTGGTACAAATAATTAAATGTTTAACTACTAGCCAAAAGGCTGGCAGATGGGACCCCCTAAAGCAGGTCAGGCTTAATTCTGAAAGGTCACACTATAGGAGAGTGCTAGTCTGCATCCATGGAGTCACTGTGAGTCAAAATAGACTACGTAGCAACTAAAAACCATCTTCTTGTCAGACCCTTGGAAGCAGCTCTCATGAACATTTGTACTGAACCAAGGAAAAGAACCGGAAAGCTGAGGTTAAGTCATCTGACCAAAGTACCACAGCAAAGTGGCAACGGCACTCAAAGGCTATGTTCTTAACCACTACTATGTACTTATTCATAATTACAGCAACAACTCTACAGATACACTGCAATTTCATCACCACAACTCTGAGGCAGGCACCACACACCATTATTACTTCCAACCTGGCCAGTAATTTCTCTAAGCCAAGTGTCACCCTAAGGTCACAAAGCTGGACAGTGACATAGCCACTCTGTGGACTCAAGCAAGACCATCAACCAGATGGCAATCAGCATCTCCATGGCCACCATTCGTGGGGTAAACCGGAAAGCTCAGAATTGCTGAGGTAACGTTGTTGTTGTGGTGGTTGTTGTTATGTGTTGTCGAGTCACCTGTGACTCATAGCGACCCTATGCACAACAGCCCTAAACCCTGCTCTATCCCATGCCAATCTTATTGTCTCTGACACACCTATCTCCCTTACCCCAGTCACTGAATCAACCCATCTCTTCAAGGGTCTTCCTTTCCTACACTGTCCCTCCACCCTCAAAAGCCCGATGGCCCTCTCCAAAGACTGATTCTGCCTTGCAACAAGTCCAGGTATGTCAGACGAAGCCCCAGAATCCTTGCCTCCAAGGAGCAGCCTGGCTTCACCCTCTCCAGGACAAACTTCTTTGTTCTCCTAGAAGTCCATGGTATATTCAATATTCTTCTCCAGCACCACAGCTCAAAGGCATTAATTCTCCTTCTATCATCCCTAGTCACTGTCCAGCTTTCTGATGCATAGCAAGTAATTGCAAAGACCATGCCTGTATAAGGCACACCTTAGTCTCCAGACGGACATAATTCAGTACTTTGCAGATGTTTCTGACACCCAACTTTCCCAGTACAAATAGTCTTTTAATTTCCTGGCTGCTGGTACCAAAAGAGTTGATTGTAGAGCCAAGCAAAAGCAAATTGAAGCTGTTAACAATCTCAATCTCTTCACCATCTATCATGATGCTGTCAATTGGCTCAGTGGTGAGAACCTTTGTTTTCTTGATCTTGCACTTCAATCCATATTGAAGACTGCAGTCCTTGACCTTCTGCAGCAAGTGCTTCAGGTCCTCCTCGGTTTCAGGAAGCAGAGTTACGTTATCTGCACAATGCAGACTGCTGATGAGTCTATCTCCAATCCTAATGCCACGATTCTCCCCAGAGAATCCAGCCTCCTGGATTAATCTGTTCCGCATACAGCATGAAAAGATATGGAAATAGGACACCTCCTCAGTGCACACCCTTCTCAATTTTGAACCATACAGTGTTTCCTTGCTCTGTTCTGACAACTGCCTCCTGGTCCAGGTATAGGTTTCGCATAAGCACAATCAAGTGTTTTGGGATACCTGTTCTTCTCAGAGTTAGCCACAGTCTGTTGTGATCTATACACGGTGGTTGTTTTTCAGTCTTCTCACAATGTGACTTGATTTTAAACCTGAAAACAAATGGTATGGACTTCTACATAGGGGAAGTTTTTGCCAAATAAACTCCATGTCAGTCCTACTACTGTACCTATGGCAAACAGGTCCACTCAAGTTCACAGAAATGAACACTCAAGAAAAGGAGGGAGCACAGTAAAATTCCAAATCCTGACAGAGCTGCACATGGGTACAGTGCACCAGGGGTGGTAGTGGTGAGGGATTACCAGGGACTTTATGTGTAGATTAGCTGCCCCAAATCAATAGATTCGAATCTCAACAGGACAGCGCAATTTATGAAGAGGGCAGTTGGAGCCTAAAGGGGAGGAACTGGGTGGCAAGTGTACCTCTGGATCATTTCTACTTCCAGAAACATGGTGAAAAGCAAAACCAGCAAACTCCACCAGCACTGTCTTCCCCTTTGCTCAGACCATCCTGGTCGCCCAGAATGCATCTTGAGAAGGCAGCGAAGGCTGAATCCTCCAAGAGGCCAAGTGCTTCTTGCCAGACTGAAATAGAAACTGGTCAAAAATAGCTCAGCGAAGCTTCAAGGGGAAAGGCACTCAGGAAGTTTAATACAGTCTTCGTCAGTCAGGAGGTTTTGGGCATTAAAGACTGTGCAGGATGAAATTTTCTGAATAGCTAATACTTTTTTACAAATCCCTTCAAAATGGTGCATGTACTCCAGCCCTAGGAGAAAGCATTCTAGAACGCCAAACTTTTCCAACTAAACCTTCTCCTGACGATTCAGGAACACGTAGTGCCTCAGAGGTATCCCCTGGAGGAGGGATCAAACCCAGCTCAACACAGGAACTCAGCTTGCCTTTTGTGTCTCTCCAAA